GTATTTTAATTCTCAATATCTTTTGCATCATCTTGTGGATCCATCTCCAGTATCTCTTTGTTACATCGCAAAGCCACCACATATGATAAAATGTACCTATCTTATTTTTACATTTCCAACATTTATCTGAACAATTTTCATTCTGCTTAGCAAGCTTTGATGCTTACTGCACTTGTCCTCATAATAATTCTGCAAGGTGAATTATTATTATTCTAGTTTTAATCTAGGGCACTTACAGTTTGACCCAGAACATTCAATAAGTTAATAACCACAGCAGGAGTTTGAACTCTGCAGGTGCCACACTCTATCAAATTGACTGCACTGGCTGCTTTGGAATTCAGTGATGGCTTTCTGCAAACTTTTTGGAAGGGTGTGGAAGGAAATTGATGTTTTCCAGTTTGGTGTATTTTTGCTTTTGTTCTCTACTTGGCAGTTACCACCCCACATTCAAGAACTTTATGTCATTGTGTTGATCAAGCTGGATCTTGTTTTAACTCCACACAATGGCTGCGGATGGCTCTTAGCTGATCTAAAGAAGTTTATTGACTGCATTTTATTTAAAAAGCACAGACCCCATGGAATTCTAGGCAGTACTTATTACAGAGGAAGGATCTCTTTCAGGAAAAGAACTTCAGTGAAAATTTCTTCCCTTAACCACCTTGCAGGGTTGTAGTGTGGATAAAATGGACAGAGGAGGTTTTTGTACGCTGCTCCAAGCTTCTTGGTGGAAAAGTGGGGCAAAAATGTAATTGATTAATTGTACATTGCAACCTGTGGGTGTCAGAGAACATGAGTAACGAGATGGTATTTTCAACAAAGAGTAAAGAAAACCAAAGACGGAGAAGAACCTGCACACAAAGTCAATGATACAAAGCCTGCATTCAAAGCCTGGCCCTTTCTGTATTGATCTTCAGGATTCCGTTGAAGACAGTTTAATTTAGGAATGCATTTGACAGATTTAGTTTCTTTTATCGGCAGTCCTAATTGGAGTTTTTTAAAATGAAACTTTATATGGTTTTTTAATTGTTGTTCTATTTATATTGTTTTTATTGTGTTTTTATAATCTTTTTATTTATTTTGTAAGCTTCTTTGAGCTCCATGATATTAAAATAATAAATATTTTAAATAAATAAATGATGAGACAGAACAGATAAGAAAGAAAATGAAAACGTGTTGTAAGATTCCTTACTCAAATAAATTATGGTAGTGTCAGTCAGAGCAAATCGATACATTGTCTCTTGGAATGAGAATGATGGCATTTGCTGTTTCTTCAAGGAGGGCAAATATACCTACTGGAGAGAAACTGGAGACTGCTCCTAGCAGGTACTGAACACAAAGCCACCTTGGCTGTTGCAGAGTTCTTTTCCCAAGCTGTAGCAAGATATGATAATATGAATAAATAAATGAGTCTGGACTCAGGTTATTAGGATTGTTTTTAACTTTATTATTGTGATACTGGTCATGACCATTGGGTTGAAGGAGTAGTTTCACGTAAGTAATTGAAACACTTTGTAAATGTTTAGCATGCCAGTAAAAGCTAGTTAAATTAAATTAAATCCTGTTATAGGCCCTGCCCCCAAAAGCATAGAAGTTTTGTTCAGTGCCAATAATTACATTAATATCTAATAAGTATTTATACAGAATATTTTCACGTCACCATGGAGTAACACAGCCTCATTTCATCTGAGGTAACAGAATTTTTGTAGGGTAAGAGCCTATATCCTTGTTTGACGGCCTGCACTTTTAAAAGCTTAGAAGTGCTGTACAAGCAGATAAAGGACTAGGAAGGGTTAATTATTCACAGAGAGCCTTGAGTGACAGGCTGCTCCAAGGAATCTGATTGGTTAGCATCAGCTGAGCAGAAAAAGACTTGAGAGCTGAATGCTGAGGAGAGATTCAGTAGCATTGACTGAGTTTAGTACTGAGCTTTCTGCATTCTCATCTCCGTTTCAAAGCCGAAGAGCCAGCACTGTCCGAAGACGTTTCCGTGGTCATGTGGCCGGCTTTCGAGCAAGGGAACCTTTACCTTTACCTTTTTTCTGCATTCAGCCTGGAGAGAAGAAATTTCCCTACCAGATAAAACAGGGAGAGCGCTCCGTGGAGTGGAGAAATCCTTGGTCTGGTGTAATTACAGACTGCCTTGTGTGATCTTAAGAGTCAATTAAAACTCAAGCAGAAGAGTACTGGTATCTTTAGAGGGATGTACTAAAAGGAAGGACAGGATTGCCCATTGGAAACAATGTGTGACGCTTGAAGGCCCATTGGAAAA